TTAGACTCAATGGTCTTAAAGGTCTTTTCCAGACACGATGATTCTGTGAGAAATTAAGGTGTTCTCCCAGTTTAGGACATTCTGAAAGGAAACGTTGTCAATTAGAGACATTCCCTCAGGTTTTACAGCAAAGTAATTTTTCTTTTTGTTTACTGCCTTTCTCTGTTACGGTTGCCAGCACATCAAGTGGGATGTTGCTTAGGTGAATAAACAAGTTAAGAAACTACTGGCTTATTCTGAACCATGTTACCCACTCTGTGGCTCACTATGTGAACTCCTCTGTGTCGAGGAGTCATTCTCAGGTGGGCAGAAATCAACATTTTTTTATTTCCTCAGGCTGTTGATCCAGGCTGGGTTTAATTTGAACGTCCAGGACAATGACGGCTGGACTCCGCTGCATGCTGCTGCGCACTGGGGAGTGAAGGAAGCTTGCTCCATCCTGGCTGAGGCACTGTGTGATATGGACATCAGGAACAAGCTGGTTAGTATGCACAGGTGTTGGCACAACATTGTCTTTTATAGCCAGATGAATATTGACTTAATTATCTGCCACGTGATCCAGCGCCATGACAGAGTTACGTGGTGAGCAGTTTTGGTGTGTGCACTGGAGTATTTGAAAGCATCAGAAAATAAAGACTCTTGACTGGAAGAAGGCAGAAAAGATTTCATGTGTTGCTGGAAGAGACCAGTGATTAAAGTTTAGGAGTTAGGTTGTGAGAAAGGATGGGGGCTCATGTGTGTCTTCCTGTTTTAGTGTAATCCTGACACATGAAACAACAACAAAAAAGACAGTCTTGGAGTGCAAAATAATACATTAATATTAAGGTATAAGGCACTGAAAACTAGTGAACCCTTGAGAAACTGGCAGCTCCAAATCTTTCCTATTCTACAATATTGGTCATAAAAAGGGAAAGAAAAATAGGATGGAAGAAAAAAAAAAAAAGAAAAAGAGCAAAACAATTTCCTCTTTCATCCTAACAGTTAGAAGTTTTTCCTTGAAGAGCCCCTGGATTTTCAAGAGCTGACATGTGCTCGTCCAGGGCTGTTCTTTGTGTTCCCTTCCCTGCTGTGATGTCCAGGCAGTGTCTGTAAGCTGCTTCCTGCTGCAGCAGATTCACTTGTACCGTGGCTGCTTCTGGAGGAGGAAGTGAGGTTGTAGGTACTTGGAACAGCACCAGGGAATGAAAGGAGGCGAGATGATTTGATAAGAGAAATGTGGCACTGTGTGGTTTGAGAGCGTCTGTCTGTCCTGGAAACTGATGTGAAGGAAATGGCTCTATGAGAAGGAGCCATTTCAGTGTGTGGAGCTCTTTGGCATTCAAAATACAGGGAATCTTTCTTGTTTTAAGTGCCATCAGGTGCTTTTCCAAATTGTTCACAATGTGTGTGGATTTTGTGTTGTCCTCAACTTGGAAAGAAACAGACTCTGTTGTATTTGCTGCTCTTTCCAGTCAAGGATTGTTACCTTGCTCGGTCAGATGGCCAAGGCAACCCATATTTATTTGATCCCTAGCCATCAGGTTTCATTATTTGTTGTTAATAAAATGGTTATTATAGCTTTAGTTATGGTGAAAATGTAACTGATTTCTTATTTTGTGCCACAAAGTAATTTTTCTGGTTTATTTTGTAAATGCCCATGGATATGGAATTGCTACCAAATTTTTTAGCCTGCTGGTGGTTGTCAGCCTTTCTGGAGGTTCAGGTACACGATGATACAGTAGAACAGGTTGATCACATTCCTTCTCAGTACAAATGCTGTTTTTAGAAACCTGGAAACTCAAATATCTTGGTCCTGGCTGTTAGATTGGAGCAGCAGCAATCAGGGAACTGCATTTCCATGACTGAGGTTGCTCTGATCATGGATTGAGTCATAAAACAACCATCACTGTCACGTGGCTTTCCCTGCTCTGGAGTGAAACAGCCTGTAACTCAGTATTTGGGGAGGGAGGATGTGGAGCGTGTTCCCTTTTGTTCTTCACTGGTAAATAGTGCTTTTTTGAATATTAACACCATGCCATATCGGATATCCTCTTCTCTTCTCTTATCACATCAGGGCCAGACGCCATTCGACGTGGCTGATGAGGGACTGGTTGAGCATTTAGAGATGCTGCAGAAGAAACAGACTGTGGTGAGTTTCTGGCAGATCATTTTCCACCTCTCCAATTACCTTTTCACACACGGATGTTCTGTAAGACATATGGTATCAACAGACACGTGAGGCTGAGGCCCAGCTATTTTCATTTTTTTTTTTACATTACTCATGTGGAATCTTTAATTACACCAATATTTTTAATAGCTAGAAATCTAGAAAACTGGATGACTGCTTCAGGAAGGTCAGTAGCATGCTGACATGCAGAATTATGTAGACTGGTAAGGAATGTATAGTTCATCTTTGGGATTGTTATTATTTTGTAGTTGCTTTGTTAGCTGGCAAGCTCTCTAGCATCAAACTGCTCTTTTCATAATGAGTGATTACCTAAGTCAACTTTGTGTTTGCATCTAAGGAAATAGGCTGTCAGTGTTGAGAAAGATTTGTTACCATGTCTGCCTTTCTTAAAATAGGGAGACTTTTGATTGAGTGAGAAGAAATTAGAAACTTCAGGGAATTCTGGACTAAAAAAAATTGTTGATTTCAAAACCATATGAAATTGCCATTTCATAATGCAATGCAGATATTGGAAGGGGTTATAAGCAGAAAGTTGGCATAAAAAAGGAAAGCAAAAATAGATCTTGATCAAAGTAAAGCCAGTCGTCAAGCCAGAAAGTTGCTTTTTTGATTGCATTTTTTCCTATTTCATCTGGTCTACTTAATTATTTGGGTGCTTCCAAAAAACAAACCACCCTTCTTTAAAAAACATGAAAATCGGAAAGTATCATTTAAAACGTTGGATTCAGAAACAGACATAATGAGAACACTGCTGGTAAAACCCAGGGAAGTATTTTGAGGAACTGACAATGTGGGTGGTAGAACTCAAGCTCTGATCATAACACAGCTGCTGTCATCCTTAAATAGCATCCTTAACATTCACAGAAACTTTTTAAAAATTAATCAGCTTCTTCCTAAATGAGGTGTTGATAAATACTATCAGTGATGTATTTTGGATTTCCTCCTATCTCACTACACCAGGATTCTGGAGATAACTGTGCTCCTCAAGAGAAAATAAAAAGCAAAACAATGCCAAAAATCGTTTTTGGATGGGTGCTATCCCATTTTTAGGGTGGATTTACAGAGTTTCTCTATATAGCAGCACTATATAAAGGCCTTTCCACTTATTAAATGAGTTTAACAAGCTGTAGTAGAACTGGGAAGAGAGAATCCAGATTTTACCACACTTTTTTTTTTTTTTAGTTGATATGATTTTTTAATAGAAATGCTACTTTATCATCTGTGTTTATCATGTGCCATTTTTATCACTTAAAATAGAAAGCTTACATCTGTTAAGGATGAAATAGGCAGTTCCACAACATTCCTCTAGATACATTATTTCACTTTCAGAATGGCTCTCAAATCAGATATTTTTAAATTTGAAGCTTGTAGCGGAACAATGTGCTGTCCTTGCTAAAAGATTTGCTGCTGTTATTGAAGAAAAGAGGGGATTTTGTTTGCTGGAAGCAATTCATTTGATTTGGGTTTGGATTTTTTTTCCCAATCTCTGAATTACCTTTGAATGGACCTGCACTTCCGTGCTCCAGCAGTTTCTTCTATTTAACAACCTGCTTTACCCCAAATTTTGGCTCTTTGCTGGCCTCTGTGTAACTTTTCCCACATTCCCTTGTGCCTGGTATCAGCTCCTATCAAAAGAAAAAGAATAACTAGGCTAGATGTGACACAAAAGAGACAGCCTTAAACATGAGCCTCTAATTGCCATCCCTTTTTCTGGCTGGACTGTCTCTGTGCTTCTGGAAGGCACGAAACAATTTTTTTTTGTTCCTGTTTTGTCCATCAGTGGTGACAAAATCCATATTGCTGCTCTCTGGGCGAAACATCTCAGCTGCTGCAGCCATCACAGGTATTCTTGTGCGATGATTTATGCTGACAGTTAAGAGATTTATGAGGTGACCCATCCTCGTGGGAGATCCATCGGTTGCCTGTACAGCGCATAAACTGAATCTAACCTGATTTCACGGGCGCACAAACACACATGGGCAGACCTCCAGCACTGTGTCTGTGTGGGCAGATGCAGGACGGTACTGTGGGAGTCAGGATTTGAGTCTGGGTCTCAGTGGGGACTGACACAGACTTCTCTGGAGGTTTTATTAAATTGCAGCTTGAGTTTAAGGACATGCTGGGTGCATAGCTGTGCCCTTACAGAGCTCTAGTCTGAAACATCCAGTGCTCTTGCAGATGTGCATCTGTTGCATTGGCTCGTTAAACAAATCTACAGTATTTTTTATCTAACGAGGTTGGATGACCTTGTGCTGTGGTGATTATCGGGTTGTGCTGAGGTGGCTTGCTAAGATGTCTCTTTTCATTCTTGCCCCAATCTGCTTGGACTTTTTGACAGTTGCGAAGTGAGAAGGAGACGAGGAATAAGCTAATTGAAGCCGACATGAATGGCAAGCCTCAAGGTGGACTCTTCACCAAGTACGTTTCTTTCCACTTTGTTGAAAAGGAGCTGTGCAGAGTGTAACAGGAGGCCAGCTTCATCTGTTAGCATCAGCTGGCCTCAGCTGGTTTAAAAATAGTTTACTGCTGTTCGTGCTCATTTCATGGTTTCTTTTAAATCTGAGTTCTCTTCAATGCAATTTTAGCTGTTTCTTAACCTACCCACTGAATGGTAGAACAAGGAGTTGGGACGGTGCTTGGTTCCCCAGCTCCTGCTCTTGCTGAGTATCAGTTTGACCTTTGTTTTGAGAGCAGTGTCTTTGTGGTTGCACAGAGCCATACAGCCCAGCTGATGGGTTGTGTTGCACTAGGAAAAGAGACACCACCTTTCTTTGGACTGAGAAATGCTTGCAAATTTAGGAAATGTGAGACTGGCATTGGAATCCCTGGCAAATGGGCAGTGCTGGAAGTGCTGGGATGTTGAGTCTATGGATGGATTTTGCTTGTTCATCATGTAACAAATCATATCTATGTGTTCCTGAGAAGTAGAACTCAGAAATAACTCACTTGCCTGGTAGTCCTTAAAATGTCTGTATCTTGCAGCAAAGAGAAGATTCTTTATGAGGAAGACACGCTGAAGTCCTTGGAAAACGAGGAAGAGAACAAGGACTCTAGCAGTTCTAGTTCTGAAGAGGAGGAAGAAGCTGAAGAAGATGAAGCTTCAGAATCAGATGCTGAAAAGGAGTCAGGTAAGACTTAGTACAGTCTTGGATTTAATAGCCTAGCAATATTAGAGGATCAGTTAGTTGTGAAAGACATCTTGAAAGTCTTACTTCCAGTGTATACGTATAGAATACGGAGAACACTGTAGCAAGGGTACTAAAAAAGCTGATCTAAATGCTGATTCCCAAGTCAGCATAATTTTTCCAAAAAAGAAAGCTGCAAATAATATTTTAATTTATACTCCCAGCTCACTTGAATTTAAGATAACACATTGTTCACAGATTGTTCTTAAACAGTAGGCTTTTTCTGGTTGGCCAATTTCAGGGTGAACGCTTCAGTTACTGCAAGATGGTAGAAATGCAGTTGAACATGTTGGAAGGTAATAGCCTGTTGTATTTGGATGGGAGAAATGAAATGAAGGGCTGAAGCTGTTCTGTGTAATAACAGAGATGAGGAACTTGTTTCTGACTGTGGTCTATAATAATTGCAGAACATAGTGGAAAATAAGGGTTAAGTGCATTGAGTCACGTAAGTCTTTACTTTATAGCATATTGCTGGTGTCCCACTTCCTTCATCTCAATCTCATTCTTTTTCCATAATTTCTCAGGCTTCCTTAATTATTTTACACAGCACAAATGCACAGCACAGAAAGTTTAAATAAAGATACTTAATTTTACAATAAGCCAAGACTTACTTGTACTTAATATTTCTGCAGAGAGAGATGGATCTTGGACTATGATGTGTTTCATGGTTAAACTACTTTTAACATCAACTTAGCCTGGATCCCAGTATACTAATAAATAAGTCCTTGCAGAGGAGTGTAGTTTAAAGTTTTGTCCCGCTTCTTGTGCCAGTGAAATTGTCACCTGTGTTCTAGTTGTATCAATTACAATGTTTATTGCAGCGTGAGAGGTGTTGAGAATCCTGACTGGTCTTTGCAGAGCTGGTAGTTACAAAAGCTATTTGGGTATGACAATAAGATGGTGAAACACTCTTTTGGCTTTTAAATCAAACAAACATAGTGGAGAAGTCAGTGGTAGACACAGGCATGCAGTAGAATTTGGATTTATTTGCTCCATAAATCAGGATTTTACTAGACAGCAGCCCTGTATAGCTGTGTGCCAATTCTTGTAAACATGGTAGGAGCTTGACCAAAATACCTCTAATGTATGTGGAGCTGTAAGAAGTGGAGCTACGTGGTGTTTTAACTGATTCAGGAAAAACATAAGGTCCTTCAGCAAGGAAAGTGCTACAGTACTTAGTGTTAAATTTAGTGTAAAGGCAGAACAGGTCTTTTTATTGAGTTAATTCACTGAGCAAAGCTCATCATACTAAACTATTTCAAACCACTAAAGCTAAAACAAATCAAAGACAAAAAGCTTTCAAGTAACGATCAAGCAGCAAGCTTCAGGCTTTGTTACCTGTGCTCTCATTTCCTAGAGAGATTATTGGCTCCTTTGAGAAATTTCAATCAGAATTGAAACTTTACTTTGTAAATGTCTCAAATCTCTAATAAAATGTCTTTTCCAATCTAGGCAATTCTGTGGTTCTGTGTTTAGATTGGATGTGAGGAAGAATTTCTTTGCTGAAAGGGTTCTGAGGCATTGGAAGGGGTTGCCCAGGGCAGTGGTGGAGTCCCCATCCCTGGAGGGATTGAAGAGTGGTGTAGACACAGTGCTGAGGGACATGGGTTAGTCATAGGGGACTGGTCAGTGTTGGGTTCATGGTTGGACTTGATGATCTGAAAGGGCTTTTCCAATCCAGGCCGTTCTGGGATTCTGTGACAATGAACATGAACTTGCCCAGCTGGGTGCGGACGTGGTTGTCAGTTGTTGCATGTGTCAGTGAGGTGCACATTTTTGGTACTCTTTTTAGAACAAAGTTCATGAGGTAACAACATCAGCCCACATGTTGTAGGAGGACTGCAAAGAGAAGTAGGCACAAAAATAGCTTTTCATAGAAAATTATAAATGTCACAGTGTTACTCGTTTCAAACACAATGTTAAGAACAATTATGCTTTATTATCTGATTTTTAAATGCTTGGGTGGATATTGGAGGTTTTTGAAAACATGGAAATTATTTCCTTATTCCTCTTAATTTTCTTCTGATATTTAATATTTACATAGCTTTGTAATTCTTAGCAGTGCTGGACAGATAGAAGATGATTGTTGTCCTAAAGTGTTCAAAGTCCAGATGAAGGGGAAAAAAAGCCAAAATATTGTTATGAGTGATCTTTTTAAATAAAAAAAATTGACTCCTTTGATAATTGAGCACAAGGCAGGACAAAGTAGAATCTGGCAGTATAATGCAGAGGTTTATTTTGAGGAATGTTTTGAAGGGTCTCAGGTTGCGATAAATTTGTGGAATTTGCAGAGACTGTGGGAGGAGAAGAAATATGAAGAGGTAAGCAGTGAAATTGTTGGAGTGCCTCAGAGAGTACCATGTTTCTTACAATCTGTGAGAAATTTGTGTTCTTCAAACAAAGGAAGCTAAGTGCAGTAATGCCATTTTATTCATCTTGAGGACAATTAACAATTTGGACATGGGGTTGTATATAAGCAAGAGAAAGATCAGTATAAAATTTTGTGGTCACTGTTGGTGCTGGTAGCTATTACAATAGGTAATTAATGTGAATTAAAGTAGGCCAGGGAAGTTTTCAATGTTTAAAAAAACCCAAAAACAAAACAAAAAAAGAATCCCCCTAAAAAACCCTTAAGATAAATTACATTTATGCCAAATTAGTAAACTAAATTTTCAGTCTCACCGAATTTGTTTTGGGGAGATTGAGCTAATCCTGACCTGTTTCCCTTGATTGGAATTCATAATGTTTATTGCTGAAATTTTAGTGAAATACAGTGTGAGATCCTCCCCTCAAGACAACGATGCTCATGGCCAGGCAGTGTCTCAGGCTGCCAGCACAAGGTACTTTTCTCTGTCCTCCTTCTGCAGTTGACTCCTTTCGGTCACGTTGCTCACAGTTAAGAGTTCTTTCCAACCTGTCATTACCACTTAAGCTTGTACCCTTGTAATTAGGCTTGACCTTAAAAATTGACCTTTGTGCTAGAAACTTCCAGAACAGGCTACCAGTCACCATCTCGCCCAGCCTGTAGAGCCTGCTGGCTCTCAGGGCAGGTCTGCCCTCCCCTTCTGCAGTGCCCAGGATTCCCCTGCAGTGTTTTACAGGCTTCACTCTCAAGAAATCAGCAAACGGCAAACGTGTCATTATTTGTCTGTGTGCATTTCCATGGACTGCTGAATGCCAGGTCAGGCCTGCAAAGAGAAATGGGTCATCTCCTGCCCCTTCCTAGAAGGGCTGTTTGAAAGTGCAATGCACCTGCATGTGAGGCTCAATAAATTAAATAGGTGACTTGGATGGAAGTTCTGAGGTAACACCAAGAGAGGGGAAGGTGGCTGAGCCTTCAGTATCATGCAGACCTTCCTAGGGGAGATGAATCTTTTGTCTCTTTAACTCTGGATCTGTCAGTCCTGCTAACTGCCTGTTACTTTAAAATGTTTCTCTTGGCTTGCTCGTTTCTGTTTTCCATGTCCTTTCAATCCTGTATTCTAGGAGTGAGAACAGTTATTTCACAAAGACTGATCTTCACGCTCCAAGGTGCCATCCTCACAGATGCTCCACACCAAGCTGCTTTTTCTGTGTAATAGAAGATCTTTATTCACTGCACATACCTCATTTGCTAGTACTGTTTGGGTGGTTACACTTAAAAATGACTTTGTTTTTTTGAAACCATAACTGTGTGGGGCACCCATAGCTGCGAGAGGAAAACATTGTTTTGTTGGTGTAGATCCATCATTTCCCAGGCACCTTGCATGTGGCTGTGTTTGGTAAATAGTCTGTCTTAGAGCCCTGTGCACTCATGTCAGTTGAACCTATTGCCTGAGACATAGTTTCTGCTTATTCTCCCCCTGGTAATGTCTGGTATATGTTCTTAAGTGCATAGATACAAAAAAAAAAATTAATACTGGATGACTGCACTTGTCTAACGAGCAGGGAGCCAGCTGTGAGCTTTGATAGCATTTGCTTAGCTTGCTTTGAGCCCTGTTAAAGCTTTTTGTTGGGAATCAGCCCTAACTTCATGTAAAAAAAATGGATTTTGCTGTAAAAGACTAGAAATTCTGCCCACCAGCATAAGCTACTGCAGAGAACCATGCAGTGACCTCCACCGCCAGGCCTGCTCGAGGACGTGTGCTGCGATGCATCCCGTGCGCTGCGATAGGAACAGCACGTTCTGCTTTTCTTCCCCCAGTGTTACAAGGGAAGAACAATCCCTGAGAAGAAACAAAATTGTGAATAAACAAAAAAAATCTGTTTGTCCTCCTTAAGGTGCTTTCTGCAAAGACTGTGCTTGTTTGTGGGGATCAAATTCCGAAGCTTTGCCAGATAAATGTATCCATCTTATTTTTTATCAAGTAGAAAGCCTCCTTGCAGAAAGCCCTGCTCAGCCTTGGCACTGACATCACCTTTGTGATCTAAAGTGTACTGAGGTCACAGCGACTCTGAACTTGAGTGTAGTGCACACTGTGTTTGTAAAGAAGGGCCTTGGAAGTGCAATACTGAAACATTTGGTTTCTCTTCTTGTTTAAAATTGTAGAAAGGAAGGAAGAGCCCTTTGCCAACCACTCCAGCCATGAAACCAGGCCTAGCATCACTGAGCAAATACCACCACCCGAGCCCAACTCCTTCACTGCATCTGCCAGAAGAGTAAGTGAATTTGGAATCGATGGGGACTCCAACAGAGCTTGGAAGCAGCAGGTTATTCTGGGAGATGGATGCTCTGAAACCAATTTTCAGAGGAGTTGCAAGACGTGAATTTAGGAAAGCATGACAGTATGCAGTTTTGCTAAAGATGCTGTGTTAACACCAGTACAGGGCTGGCACAAAGGAGGATGTTTGTACGATAACGTTTCTCCTGAATCTCTTACCCTCTGAAGCAAATCGCGCTGTTCCCAAGAGGAACCCTGCTTACCACAAGCGCTTTGTTTCACTGTCAGGTCTGAGATGGTTGATGCCAATCTCTAACCAGCAGCAGATCTTTCACCAACGCTGGCTCCTGCTGATGTAGCAGCAGTGAATTTGGCATCATCATCCAAAGTGACTCCAACTTGCCAAACTCCATTGATTCAGTGGCATGATGTTACGGCCCAGTAAGCAGTGAGGATAAAGTTTGCATCTGACAAGATAGCTGGGTATGAAAGCTTTTTAAAGGTGGAGTTACTGAAATCTTATCTGAATTCTCCAGCTCTCATGTCACTCAGCTAGATGGCACCAGGAGACTCTGTTCTGCTGAGGACTGGTATCTTAACGCTTCTGGTTTCTTTTTACACCAGAATATGGAGGACAGATATACAATGCAGGCACCTTGCCAAAGTCTGAAGCACTAGGTACATGTTAGAGGGAAACTGCTTCTTGCTTAGTCACAATTTTTTATTTTTGACATGCTACTAAGTCTGACTTCTCATTCACATCAAACAAAATATGCGCTCACTCATTTGAGCTGTTTAACCCAGAAAATAAGGCTGTTAGGGTGTAGGAGAGGACCTGTGTGCAAAGCAGTTATTTGACCTCAGCCACTTAAGATTTACCTGCTGCTTTACCTTCTCTTATGTGTTTGATTTCTCTCTAACTCTCTTTGTCAGATTGGGTTTTATGTGTGAAAATACGAGTGCTTGTGTTGCCCTCCATTTGTGGAGTTATTAATATTTACTGTTCCTATGTTGTTCAGAAACTACAGAAGGCAGCTTTTACTGTGGATTTGAGCTTTCTCTGAGGAAAGTGTCAAAACTACATTAAAGTGTTGGAGCTGTGTAGCTCAGTAGACTAGAAGTGCTAGAATTAGTGGAGTACAGGAGACTAACTCTGTGCATCTGCATTAAAATAGCATTAGCTAAGAAACACTGCTAAAATACTGCAGTGATGATTTTATCTTTGCAGTCTTGAGTCAGTGAGTTTGAGAGCAGAGCTCCCCAGTAGCTTCATTTATTTTGGATAATGTCAGATGTTTTCTGTTATGTAGAATATGTTATAATAACGCTTATATCAGCTTTGACTGAAAGCCTTGTCTATCCCAATATCCTGCCCTTGACAGTGGCCATCCAAAGATCCCAGAGAAGACAGACTCTAGCTGGACTTTTCTCCCACCTCCTAGCAATTTTAATTTCAAGGATTTGCTGAACCTGTGGTATTTTTCATATTCAGTACAACCTGTTAGACTTTTCCTTTATGAATTCATGCAGTTGCTTTTTGAGTGCCCATTTTGAGTGCTTTTTGGGTTCCTCTAGTGTCCAGTGGCAAAAGGTTCTTCAGCTTAATTACATGTTATACAGAGCTTCCTGCACCTGCTTCTTTAAGCCTGCCATGTCCTGGTTTTGTTTGCTGCCCCTAGTTCCTTTATGGGAAAGAACAAGGAATAATCAATCACCCTTCTATGTACCGCTGAGGATTCTGTGTACCTTGGTCATATTTCAGCCTGGAGACTCCTGATACACTGAATAACTCCTTGTACAAAAGCTCTCTTGCTCTGCTCATTCTTGTTGCCTTTCTCTGAATCTCTTCTCCTTCTTCTTTACTGCTTTTGAGCTGCAGAGCCGAACTGTGCGTGGTATCAAAGGTGTGATTGTAGCCTGAGTTAACACGGGGGCATAATGGTGGTGTGCATTCTATTCTGTTCTGTCACAGTAATTCCTAATATTTTGTTTGCTTTATTTTCTATACAACTCAGTGGTGACTGCTGTCTTTGTAGAAGTATCTCTTGGGGTGCCCAGGCTCCATTCTTGATGCAGTAGGCATCTTTTTGTAAGACTTGATAACTATAACTGAAGTTGTACATTTAAGCAGTTGTGTATTTGAGGAATAACATATGCTTGTCAGAAGTGCTTCATGTAACAGAAAGCATGAAGGTCCATTCTGTAGCATGTACAGGATACGCGGTTACCTGACCATGGAAAGGTTTAGGCTAAAACAGGCCTCTGGAAGCCTCTAGTCCAACCTCTTGCTCAAAGCAGGGCCAGCTTCAAGCCTGTGTCATGTTCCTTTGAAGTACCTGAGCTCAGCTGAGCATTGAAAAGTCTCTGAGGATGGAGATGCCCCACTCTCTTGCTCCCTGTCCCAGTGCAGCATCGCTCCTACCAGGAGATACGTCTTCCTTCATGTCAGTTAGGATGTCCTGTGTTGGAACTTGTGTCTGTTCTTCCTTCTTTCACTGTAGACTGTTGAGAAGAAGTCTGGTTCCATATCCTCTGTACATCCCACCTCCCCAGGTAGCAGAGCAATTAAATCCTTTCTTTGCCTTCTCTTTTCAGTGCTAAATAAGCCAGGTTTTCTTGGTCTCTCCCTTTACGTGTTGTGTGCTCCAGCTCCCTGATGATCTTACTGGCTTCTCCTGGACCCTCTCCAGTTTGATCTGTGTGAGGGTTTTATTTGCAGATAGTCCCAAAAGAGTTGATTACTTTTTTCAGTTTTCTGCCTTTATTGAATAATTCCCTCTTCTTAAACAGGTGCTAATAAAAGCTTCATTGTTCCTTATATTCTTTTTGCAAAGCTGGAGGAGGGCATTGTGTAGGCAAAGGGAGCTGCACAATGACACAAGATTTCTTTCATCGTCTGTCCTTGGGGATGAGGGCACGACAGCAATTTGCATCCTTGTGAGTTCACCTTGAGCTGTCTCCTGTAATTAAAGCTAAGCAAGAAATCAAAGTCACTCCATCTTGTGTTTACAAGTGTAGCCCAGCAAAAATTGGGGCTTGTTGAAACACTTTCAGAACTTAGATTGTGCCTTGCAGTGCTCTTACTTCTTCCAAATGTCCCTTTTTCTCTTCTACAGTTCAGTTGGCTCAGCAAGTCAGACGAGCAGAAGGATGAGTCACCTTCGTCGTGGCGGCTGGGGCTACGGAAGACTGGCAGTCACAACATGTTGAGTGAAGTCGCTGCTACTCGTGAGGCACAGAGAGATAAGACTTCTTCTATCTATCGTTCTTCGTCAAGTCCTCGGATATCTGCATTATTGGACAACAAAGAGAAGGTTTGGCTTTCATTTCAGCAAGGATGTTGTAGTGCCATCTGAGTTGAGCAGACTTTACCTCACAGGTTTACGACCCTTTCCCTTTCGTTTTGAGTTACTGCTGGGGTTTGTATCCCTAACACACTTGGGTCTCCCTCATTTTTTTTTTCCTTTTGGAAATTATACCTATCATATCAGTTGTTCTTGCAGAACTGGAGTTTAATGCTCCTTTGATATAATTCCTGCTCAGTTTGGAGTGGGCTGCTGGTGAACAAAGGTCTGGCATGGCCCATTCTTTACCAGAAAAGATCTAATCCAGACAGTAGCACATACCTGCAGTGGAAATACTGCTTCACTGTCATCTATATGGATTCTTCCTGTATCCACCAGCTGTATCTGTGAATCCTATCCCATGTATTCACTCGCTATAGCTTTGCTCCCCCATCCCAGGAAACATTCAAGGTCAGGTTGGATGGGGCTCTGAGCAACCTGATCTGGTTAAAGATGTCCCTGCTCTCTGTAGGGGGGCTGGATTAGATGACCTTGAAAGGTCCCTTCCAACCCAGACTCTTCTGTGATTCTATGATTTATAGGTAGTTCTAGTTAGAAGCTGCCTTTATTCATTAGTGTGCTCTTCAGGAAATTATTTTCAGAACTGATAGTTTTACGCTGTGGATTGTGTTGTCCAAGAAAATGCCTTAAACCAGTTGTCCTTAGACAGGAGAATGCTTTCTTAGTTGAAGAAATTTGAACATGAATGTACTTGTCACTGAACAAGCTGGAAGTGTAACAGATGTGCAGTTGAAGTCCTTCTTTGCTTCACCAGGATAAAGATAACAAGAGCTATCTTGCTACAATAGCCCCCAGAAGACTCAGCAGTACGAGCGATATAGAAGAAAAAGAAAACAGGTGAGACTGAACGTAATGCTCAGCTTCTGTCCTGTTGATAGTTGCTCTGGAATTCCTTTTCTCTATATTCCTGCTTTATGTATTTTCTCAGCAGTCACAAGTACACAGGAATTCACAATATCAAGGGTTCTCTCTGTTCTATAAAAGTTCTGGTATGTTGCTTTTCATTTAGGTGAGCGGGGCAAGGGGCTGGTTTCTCCACTCCAGTATTCTTACATATACAGTCTCCATCCAGGAAATTAGATTTATGCATATTTTTTCCCTTTTATATGCAAGTGCCTCATTTTGTAGCTGGCACCTACACTTGTACTTCTGTCGCTTGCTGAATAGTCACCTTTGTGCACACATCTGTCATTTTTTTGATTCACTTGAGTTTGTGAACTCTCTGCTCTATGGAGCTGTTTCATTGCAGGGGTTGTTTCATGGTAAATGTGTATAATTGCTCCTGGACAGAACCACAATATAAATGGGATACATGTCTAGTATCTCAAGATATTTTTGAGGAGCTAATCTCTACAAACAGGTTCTTCACAGGTTGTGCTAGAAGGAGTAAAACCTTGAGCTTAGCCTCATTTCCAGCCACTTGCACAATCATGGGAGAAGAGCACATATAGAGAAGTCACTGTGAACTGTAATTGTTGTGGAAGACCCAGCAGATGACCACCCTGAGAGAATTTCAGCAGTTTGAGACTCTTTGCTGATCTTTTGCTGGAACCTCCCTGCTGTGTTCTTGCTTAATCTCAGCCAGTCACGGTGATTTAGACTTTAGCAGACAATTTGTGTCTGCTGATAAGCTTGAGCAGTTTTGGCAGTGGCTCATTTTGGGTGGGTATCCAGCTGCCTGCTGCTAAGTGTCCTTTCCTTGGTAAAGTAGAGAACGAGGAGAGAGAATTAGCCTGCAGGAACAGATGTGCCCAGACATACTGTGTAGGACAGATTTTTCCCAATATTCTTTCCTTTCAAAACAGCTGAGATTCACTTCATGGAACCTACAGGTGTCTGAAAGGGCATCAGCATGGACATGAAAATTGAAAAATGAAAAATAATGGCAGGCTGATGAGTGAATGGACTTGTGTTGCATTACAAGCTCGAGGTCCTGTCCAAGACCAGCAAATATTAGGACATACTGCCTGTGTGTGATAGGAAAAGGGGCCCTGGGATAAATACGACTATTAGCAATTTATTGGTAACTTGTCGAGTAGTTTTAGATCTTGCCAGACATTTTGTATGTTGTTTTCTGCTGCTGAGTGTAGCAAAGGATTTGCCATACTGAATTGCTTTACTGTCATTGCCTGGATACTGGGAGAAGAAAACTTCCCCTGCATTGCAATATCTGTCCATTTCTGCAGTGTTGTTTGATACAAGATGGCAGAGAGAATATCAAATGCCATTATTTAGTATGATAAATTACTTTTATGGACAATCTACATTTAAATTGCAATTTTTCTGACTAAATAGAACCTTGTTCCTCTTTATGCCAAACAACCTGATCTAGTGGAAGGTGTCCCTGCTGATGGCGGGGGGGTTGGAACTGGATGATCTTTAAGGTCCCTTCCAACCCAAACCATTCTATGATTCATTCATTCTATGATGATTAATAATACAGCTGGCAATGACAGAAACCAATGTTAAGGCCAGAAGAGGTGTTTCAATGAGTTGTCACCTGTGAATACCAGTGCCCATAGGTGTAAGGGAAGGATTTGTGTTGTGGAATTGTAAAGGGGCCAAAAGCACACTCCAAAAGTTTTTCTAAACAACCCTTGTGCTCTCTCCTGCATTAGGGAATCAGCTGTTAACCTCGTCCGGAGCGGCTCTTACACCCGGCCGTGGAGGGATGAATCCAAGGGAAACGAAGCTCCCCACTCTGGTGCACCTACTACCTACGTATCTACCTACTTGAAAAGGTAGGTCCAGTTCTGTCTTACGTGGGTTCCCAGGTGGTCACTTCTACTCTTAACATGCCTCCCAAACTTCAACCTCTTGCTTGCTGCTTACTGCATCAGTGTCACTGGCCTTGGGACCCTCTTCTGCTGAGAGCAGGAGGTAGAAATTAAGATTTGCTGACATTTGTCATGCCAAATAGTATTTTCTAAAGGCCATCATTTTTGTTGATTTGTAAATTGCTGAACTGAATTTAAATACTCCTGCTCACATAACTCAAATGCAAAGTGTTCTCTCAGTTTTATGCTAGTATTATGGTTAGATAATAAAACCAAAATTGATCATAAAAAGAGAATAAAGTAATTACAGTCTGAAAGCGTTGTTCAGATAGCTATTGACAGGTAAGTTGCAGCTTATCTCTGGTTTTGATTTATGTTAGTCCATGTTTATGGCATCATTATCAGGAAAGTGACGGTGTTCTTGTGCGTGACTTACAGCACTTGCTAAGGACTAAGACTGATGTCTCCAACCATCTTCCTGTGGCACTAGGGAAGCAGTTTCTGCACAGTGTATGTGAAATGGTAGAGGCTGGTTGTTGGTAAACTGGCCAAGCAGAATCAGGAAAGGAGTCCTGTGCAGAACTGCTTTAATTGGCAGCATTTTTTACCCCTTTGGAAGGCAGAGGCTCATTTTCCTTGAAGTACCAGCTAATGGCTGTCTCTGATGAGGTGACTCAATGCTCTGTTCTATTAAAACAAACAATACATTACTGAGTTTTCATCTCAGCTGTGAGGAGGAGGCTCAGCCCTTTGTGCAGGTACAGTGCCATCATCTCACCTTTATTTTAGCTAATACTGGAAACCATCAGAACAGCATGTATAAACATGTCCCACCACAAAGCCTTTGAGCTGTGCTTGAGGAAAAGGGCAGAAATATTTCAAGGTTTTAGATTGTGTTTCACCAAATTCTAGACCCTGAACTAATTATCTGTCTTAAAGATGGAATGATTGCTTGAGATATTTGGGAAAAGGCGGATTTTTTGTGTTCTAGTACTTATGCTGGCAGAGGTAAGTTGTGCTCGAGGATGTGTCTGTCCAATTGCTAAGCACATAGAGACCCATTTCCACAAAAGGTGAAACAGAGAGCCACTTCAAGCAGTAGACTTCTCCTGATCCATTCCAGTGACTTCACATCTATCCTGGGACATGATGACAGGCCAGCCTCCGTAGCTTGTTTCTCTCTAAAGGCAGTCCAACAAGCTGGAGCTGATTACATTGGAAAAATTTTACCTCTTGCAGCTGACATGCCTTACTGTTCCCTAGTCTGAGAGACAGTCCAGTCACTCACGTGGCTGTCCGTTGCAATTTTACAGACACTGCCTGTTGATCTCAGCTAATCCAGAACCAGATTTAGTATTACATTCACATAGTTGCACTGTATTTCCTTGGTTAAACTGTACAGAGACTAAGGAAGGTTTTGGCTGGCAGTGGAATTTCAGCAGTACCGATGTCTTGTCACAAAGGCTGAATTCTGGCCTTTCATAGGAGACTGTTGGTTTACAAACAATTACAGAGAATAGCTTTGCCAGGTAGGAATAAAGTGTACTTTTTTAAAAGTGATCAATGGGTTTGCATTTTATGTACCAACATTAAAATCATGATCAATTTGACCTCTATCCCAAATGGTTTTCTATAGGAGAGCCCAGAGAAATTAGATGTAACCATATTGAACCTCTGATTTCTTCAGCCTTGTACATCAGGCTGTAAGCTGAGGAAGGGAACCTGCCTGCCTGTGAAGGATATGTCATTTACAAGTGGTAACAAAACTCTCAACACAGCCCCAAAAGATAAAAGCTTATTCTGGGAGAGGAAGAATTACAGTGAACATGCCATACTTGGATATCACTGAGAGGATGACTTCTGTACTGTGTGTTTCCCCTTTGCCTTAGCATTTAACTAATCTCCATAAAGATACCTCATTATGTTCTCCAAGTGCTTTATACAACCCCCAAACAAAGAGTAAACAACAGCAACAGATCATCTTAAGATGCTGAAAATGGCTTTTCTTCTAAAAGGGAACAAAATAACTTGCAGCACAGTTGCAAATGTTCTTCAGCTTTCGTTGAAGCAAATGTTAAAGCTCTCTCTGTAATGGTAGTGACTGTCATTCATTCTGCTTCCTCTATGGGTGTATCATGAGCCCAAAAATTCAGAAAGCCCTGTTCTGACAGCCTGTTCTCCAGTTTAGTGCATATTGACCTTTAAACAGCCAGTTCACTTTGCCTGTATATTAAAGGATTTGGAGGAAAACTGCCACGGCAGATTGAATTAATTCAGCATCTTTTCCTTGCTATCAGTCACAAGTGATGCCTCACAGGAAGGGAACACACACCACAGTGAACTCACTTTTTCGCACAGTTAGTTTTTCCTTCATTTTACATATTTGCATATATGCCTTCTTACTGGTTTTGTTGACATAAAAACCATCAATCACAGTGTCAGGCCAACAGTCCATGCAGTCCAGACTCTGTTTCTGAGAGCAATTGGTTTTGAAGAACGAGTTTTAAAGGCCAGGATAACTTAAGAGCAGTCTTGCACCTCCCGCACTCTCCTTGCTTCCAGCAATCACAGATTTAGAAGCCAGGGGTTATTGTTCTTCATAATAGCCACCGCTGTGGCCAACTGCTGGAAGCAAGTCCCATTTTGATCTCTGCAATACTCTATGGCAGTCTGTTTAAAAAAAAATAGCTATGTGTTTTGTGCAAGCTTTTTTGATTAGCATATGTGGAAGCTTTTTAAGGTTTTGAAGGTTTTTAAGATTTTTAATTCTACTTGGTTTAGCTGTTTTCAGAAGTATTTATTTTTACTGATTTTAAATGTTGCTTTCCATTTCATTGCTCATTCCCTGATGGTTATGTTATGGTGATTATGTGAGAGAACGAGTAGCAGTGTGTCAGTGCCTGGTTTTTATTTCTAAAGTTGAATTCTTTAGCATAAACTCATAATCCTCCCTTTTACAGATTCATATGAACACAGCTGTTAATTAACAGGATTCCCCAGCTAACCTTTTTCTTGCAATTTTCTGTTCAGATCGAATGTGAGCAATTGAATAAATGCCTTAGGGTCCTCCTCAAACTGTGCAGTGCCACCCAGGGAAGGTGACAGGGCGGGGAGGTCAATGCTTGTAGAGCTGGCAATGCCTTGGCTCCCTTCTTGTGAGCAGGAGTGTGTGTGTGATGCCTCAGCACCACGTTTCTCTGACCCGGGGTTTGTGCATGTAGGAGTTGGCACAACGCCATCACCATGCTCTTTTCCTCCATTCCTCCTCCTCCTCCTTCCCCTCTCAGCCCCCCCACATCTCTGCTCTCCCAGGCACCTGGTGCTACTTCCATCCTCTCGTCTCCCCTTTTCACCCATCACCTTTCCCTTCTGAAACACAGTCCTTGTCAGGTCTTATTTAATAACCCTCCCGTGTCCTCCCTTCCTGACCAAGTTCCTTCTCTTTTTTGCAGCCCCCCCTCCTGCCCCAGCCTCTCTGCCTTGGGCTCTCCTAGGATGGTGCCACATCAACCCTGCTCCCCCCGGGGTTGTCACCACCTTTTCCCCTGCTGCTCTTCTTGTTCCTTCCCCTGGTGCACGTTCTGCTGCCATCATCTCCTCAGTACACTCATTTCTGCAACTTCACAGCTGCTTGCTCTGCACGCCCACACCAGCCAAGCTGAGCTCCATACTCTCACCCTCCTTCCAGCCTATCTCCAGGGCTTGGTCTGTTCCTCTGATGCAGAGAGCCAAGAAGGGAGCACTTGCTTCCAACAGGACTTCCTGCTCCCCCATGCTCCGGGCAGGGCCAGCTTTCCAGAGGAAGCTTTGTTTAGGGTCCACTGGAGGTTGCTACCTGGTGACAATAACTTACTTGTTCCTTTGTGACCTGGATATGGCCAGCAGCCATCAACTGAAGAGCCCACATGTAAGGTTCCTCCCTGTGGAGACCTTCCAGGATGCCCCATTCTCTCCTTTGGCTGTCTAGGGACCAGCTGCTTGTTCTGGGCTGGCTGGGGGCCTTGGCATATAAAACTGATTTGTAAATTGGGTGCCTGAGTGAATCGGGCTGGATCCTTCCTCCAACCTCCTGTCCTTGGCTGTTGTCCTGCCCCTTTCAAGTTTATTTCAGCCTCAGGCTGCTCCCTCTGACTCTTGCTCTAGTGTTGACTTCCAGTTCCAGTCTGCTGTCCCTGGCTTTTCCATAAACCTGCAGCTCTTCATCCCAGTCTGCTTTTCCTCTAGGTCAGCTTTTATTCCTGGTGCAACCACTTTCCTCCATAGGCACTGGCATGGGAGTCATTGGGATGCAGGAAGTGAGAGGCAGCCTCCCAGCCTTCCCCAGCCTTTGATCCTGCAGACAGCCCAGTCTGACCAGTAGCAACCGGGAATACCAGTTGCTGGGAGAGGCGTGGCAGGGTCCTGGATCATGCATACATGCTCGTTTGCTCCGTGCAGACGACGAGCAGCCTGTCTGTGGGGATCTGGCACATGAAATAAGGAGGTTTGACCAGATTTCATCAAGTCTGTTTTTAGGGGTGGGCAACTTCTCCCACTTAGGGTGGATTTTCTCTGAAAAAGTGAAAGGGTACATCTCGTGTGAGAGCCCTTCTCCTTTTCTCCTGTTTCTTCTCCGGAGCATGAGCACTTAAAACACTTAGAGCTTTTCAGTAATAATGGTTTTAAGGGTTTCGTTTTAAACTGGCAAAATATGTATTTCCCTTACTCATTCTTGAATATTTTTTGGACACTTTTGCTAGCTGTTTTCCAGAAATACAGAGTTTGTGCCAGATATGCCTTAAAGAAAAATAAAACCTGAACTGATCATCTTTGCCAAAGCTCTAAACCACTGAAAACAAGTTCTTAAAATGGGAAGTCCTGGGCATCCTTAGGAGGTGATGCAGCCAGACCTGCTTATGTCACTCTCTCCTTCCCTGCTTTAAGCAACCTCATCCTTGCTCATTGTTTCTGCCTTTCCCCAGGACACGAGTGCTCTCTGTGTGCCGCTTTCACTGCGGTAGGGTTTTTCCCTTCCCTGTCTTCACCAACTCCCCTCCACGCCGTTATTCTCTCACTGAAACTCAGCTGGGCTTGGCTAAGAAAGGTGCTGCGAGTGCTCATGACCTGCAGCAGCTCCAGTGTCCTCTAATCTCCTCGCACACGTTTTGCTAAGATGTCAAACCTGCTCCCTTTCCAGCTGAGAGCCCAGCTGTGGGGATGTTCTGTTGAATATTTACTGTGCTCTGAAGGACGTGATTTTGTGATGTTTTACAGTGCTTCATTTGGTAGAAGTAGTGACCTCAGCAGTCCCTACATTTCAGCCAGTCGCAATACATCTCTAGCTACCTCACCCACTACCATTGGGTCATCTACCTCATTGGGCACCCCGTGGCAACCTGTCTCTTCCTGTCCCACATCTCTCGGTGCGAACGCTACTGCATCAGCCCGCCAGTATACCAGGTAACGGCTCACAGCTGAGATAACACTGCAGAAATCAGCATTTGGGTTGGAAGTTCTGAATTCTGGAGTGGATTATGGATTGGAAGTGTGTTTCCTGATAAGAAATCCCAGAATGGTTTTGTTGGACAGTTTCAGTAGTGCGTGTGCACCAGCTCCCATATGTGACCTTAGCCTCTTCACTCGCTGGAGTGGTCAGTTGTGTCCTCTCGCTTCCCTGTTAGAGACACGATGCGTTGCTCAGGCTGCTCTTGGGCGTTCAGGGTACAAGCTCTTGGAGTTCATTCCTTCTGCTTATTCACCAGGTACATTTTCTAATCATTTTTGCTACAAACAGGGATGTGAAGACTATTAATTCCTCCTGTTTATTCTTCTACAAGTTTTTAAAAACTCATTTTAATGTGTGCTGTCCCCTACAAAACCACAAGTCTTGAACGAGGAGAATGAACTGTCAGTGCTCCCTCGAGGTGGCTGGTCTTGCTCAGCAGTTGAGTTCACTTGCTTTGCTTTCCATTATGTCTTCTCTATTTCAGAGCCCCTTTCAGGCAACAAACTGATTCTGCTGTAGAGAAAAATACAGAGGGCATCTCTGCTAGCACCCCCCTAGGTGTAATCACAAATCGTGCTGTACTCGGCTCTGCTAATGGTATTGCGAATGCCAGTGCTGCCTCAACTACAGGAAAGGACTTCTCAGCTGAGGAAGCCAGGGAGCGCAGAAGGTTAGTGAGCAGAGTGCCGGTGTGTGTCGGTCCTCCTCTGTCGTCAGGTCTCACGTGGTGGTGATGGTGGGGGTGTGAGAAGGGTTCCTTAGGTGCCATGGGGAGTTACAGGCTGCTGCCCCTGCTCCATCTTAAATTTTTGAACCGAGTCATCACTGGATTGTAGGTTAAATTTAGTTTCATAATTTTCTACTTGTCTCCTCAGTATCTCAGCCTTTTCCTTCAATAGTCATCTCAGCTACTAATCTCAGTCCCTACAGCCTGTGTGTCTAGAGGGACAGCCAGCGCAGGAGCACAGTAGCTGTTCTGTAACATGAATCCTGTCCAGAAAAGAGTGTTGGACTGAGACACATTCAGATCAAATCCATCCCTCTGGTTCTGCTCAGTTGATACATGTGCCCCGATGGAAACATCTTTGCTGCCCAAGTCCCCTAGATTCCCTCTGTAGCTAGTGGGAGAAAACAAACATTCCTGGAGCGTGTAGCTGTGTGATACGGGGGAGGTGGACTCTGGCAGCACACGTTTCTTCTGATTGACTATGAAGGAAGACTCAGCACAGAGGCAAAAGTGCAACCGAGGCTATTCCAGCAGTAGCAGCATTTTGAATTACTCTGAATCTGGGTGGTGGCATCTCTTTCTTATCATGTGATGTTATTTTAAGACTGGAGAAATATAAACCTGGGGTAGCCGGTACTTGTTTCAAAGGAAATTTACCGTGTGCATTTAAGTACAGAATATCAAACGATCCATATTTATTCCTGCAAAGAGGTTAACTTTTGCAAAATCTGTCTCTTCGGATGAAAGTGAATGATAATAAATAAAATCCAGCAATGAACTGTGTGTTTCTATTTAGAAACCACTTCACGGAGTGTTTTCTGTAATTAGATTCTTCCAAACTAAAATAATAACTTCTTAAAATACAGACCTTCCTGAGTGGTGTTAGTACTTTGACATATTTTAAATGGCTTGAAGCCAAAGGATGTGAAAAGCACTAATGGAAATTATCAGCTTGCAAAGATAAAGATGATAGAGCTCAGCAGTGCCATGTAATCTGCAGTCAGCCACGTCACCTCTCCTGTGGAGGGAGGACATGCCTGCCGCCGGCTTCTCTTTGCTTTGGCTGCAGCAGATCCAAGAGAGAAGGTGGTCTGTGCTATCTGGAAAATACTCAAACTTTTAATGCTGTTTGGGCTTTTTTTCCAGAGCTAGCACAGGGAGTGCTCTGAAGGTATCGCGAGCATTCTGGATGAGCCACGGTCATCAAATCTGTATGCGGGGAGATAGTTTGAAATAGCTACTGCAGAGCGTCTTCTTTGTCTGTAAGAACACTTAGGTTTAATATTAGGCGTCCCTCTGTATGCTCCTTGTCATTTTGCTAGGGGTCAGCTGGCTTGGTGTCATTTGCAATTGAATTGAGATGAGCTGCCAAAAGATACTCCTGGTGCAAAGTGAGATTCTGCAAAAGAGGACAGAGTGGGTATTGTGCTTTCAGTTCACGCTTCAGACCGTTGCACAACAGTATCTCCATTTTTGGCAAGCCCAGAATCAAGTTGCAAAAGCTTTAGATTCTTCTTGGGAGAAGTGGGCTCCACAAAACCCACCAGACTTTTGGCACTGTCTGCAGACAGGGAACTTGACTGAGATAGTACTTGGAGATGCCCGAAAGAGCATCTATTAATATTACTGCATTGGCATTTATTGCCGAATCAGTTTCTATAAATAATATAGAAGATCTGTTTAAATCTCCTGCATTTTTATTAGAGAACCATCTCCTATGAATTATGCTAATGCAAAGAGAAACACCAGAAAATTCCTCCCACCTTTAATTAATGCTTTGAAACTACTGAGAGGGGAAAAAAAAAAGCACAGCAATGGTGCATTGTGCTTGTGGGTGGAAGGAAACATTATTTATGAATGTTAGTTCTAAGAGCAGGATATACTGACTGGGGAACTGCCTGCACATTTTGAACTAGGAAACGTGGAGCTGGAGAAACAGGAGAGGTCACCTAAATGGGAAAAAGCTTATTTTGGAAGGAGACCAATTCCAGTAAAATAAAATAAAAAAGGAAAATGGCAAACAGTTGTCAGGGAAGCACTGTATGGATTTCATTTCCCACCGGCAGCTGTTGCAATAGCATTTGGTCTGCTTCAGTGTTTCCAAAGCTCCAGCTTTCTCTTAGCAACAAAAACATAAATAAGCTTATCTAATATTAGATCACAGGGATGTCTCCTAACTTGTGGCCTTAAATTATCTACGTGAATCCAAAAGGTTATAGCAGAAGAGACTGCTAGGGCTGGGGAGGAATGACTAGCAGAGTGCTCTGGAGGGCTCTTTTCATAGAATCATAGAATCCCAGACTGATTTGGGTTGGAAGGGACCTCAAAGCTCATCCAGTCCCAACCCCCCTGCCAGCAGCAGGGACACCTTCCACTAGACCAGGTTGCTCAAAGCCTCATCCAGCCTGGCCTTCAACACTTCCAGGGAGGAGCAGCCACAGCTTCTCTGGCCAACCTGGGCCAGTGTTTTTTGCATCCTTTGGTGGCCAACAAGCCTTACCCTGGCCCACCGTAGCATTTTACCTGTGGTGTGTTACCTGCTGCTTGTTTGCTAGCTAAATTGGTCAGCAAATGCTCTAGTAGCTGGAAAATAGCGTGAATCGCAGCTCACGTTGTTAGAAAGGGAAAAAACAGAAAAGGTGGCAGGAGAAATCCGTTTGGAGGAACTCAGGGCAGCCCGGCTGCCTGGCTGGACCATCACAGATCGCTGCCTGGTGTTTGGGCCATATGTCTTGGAGGTTCAGCCAAGCTGCTGCCGTGCGTATTTACATGTACCCAGCTGCACGTTCCGCCGCCCTTCGTTCCGCTGCAGCACTGCGGTGTGCCGATGCTGAGAGCCTGGAAACGTGCCATCTTCCAGAGTCAATATTTTTGCCAGGCAATTTCTTTTGCTTTTTCATGGGAATTTTGGAGACACTGATGGACGTTGCTGTTTGGCCGTTTTGATGATCGCCTGCCAGCGTCAAATTGTCTCACATTGCAAATGCATTTGTCCAGCTGAACTCAAAACAACACTGGCTCTGCTAAGGGTGAATTACAAGCATGTAGATGCTGTGCCTACAGTATTTTGTGTAGACCCTGTTCTTCCTGGTGCAAAACTAACATCCTTTTGGTTTCCACTTGGTACAAGCAGGAGGTGGGGACTTGGGGGAGTCCGCTGCTGGATTATCCAAATACATCTGGGATGACAGCGGCCTCTAGTGCCACCAAAAGCTCCTTTGCAAAGTTCATCGGTGACTTTGGCCATGTAGGTGAAGTGCAGGGCTCTGTGGCCACATCTTCTCCAGGGAGTCCTACGCTGCAGCCCCTCTCGAGGGGGTTCCCCGTGTCCCAGGCTCCCAACGCGCTGGAGGCTGCTTGGGGCTGTGTCACTGTGCGTGGCAAGGGCTCTGCAGGAGATCTGGCCAAGCTGGAACATGACTTGTGCCACGAGAGATCTGGTGCTGAAAGGAAGGTCTGGGGGAGTCTGGGTCTCCATATTATATGAAAGCTTTGGTTCCCAGGATGGATTGAAAGGCTACTGTGCAGCCCACAGCTCGTGGTTACCTGTCACATGGAGTAAGCCAAGCTTGGCCTGAGAACTTCTGGAAGGCAAGTCTGTGTTCTCAATTGTATGACCCGTTTAAAAGGACACTCCTGAATTTGAAATCTGTTTTTGTAAGAATTAGGATTTTAATTTGACTTTCCTCTTTTTTTCTTCCCCTCAGCCACTTTGTTTATACAATTGCATTCTGCAATTGTATTTGTTCTTCCTGTTCCTCAGGAAGGTTCCAGCAAGGTAGTAGCACTTGCCATCAGGCAAACTGTTAGAGACAGGAAACAGGTCTCTCTTTTCCTTATTTTTTTAATGTATTTGACCAGTTTCTCAGATAAATCAAGAATAAGAGTGAGGTGCCTTGTTTTCCTAGCAGCTTTGGGGCTGACAGCTGTGCTCAGCCTGGCTTCTTGCCCTCTAAAGTTTCCCCTAGAATTTTTTTTCAGATGAAGAAAGTTCACTGACGTGCAAGGTAAATGTGTCTAGCAAACATTTCTCTTTTCTGCTTCGTTCCCAAGAGGAATTTATTTTTCGTTCTTTGTTCCTTTATTCCAAGGATCCAGCTGCTAATTATAGTAGCGTATATTAATAATATATTAATAACTGAATCCTCCTCCACTAGTACTGTTAGATGAACAATTTTTGGCAAGTCCTTTTACCTCGTGATTCTTGTCCTGTCCAAATTCAGAACATGACTCCTCTAGGGTGATAACCCTTATTAACTGACAAAAAAAACAAGAAACCCTGATCTCTGTAGAAGTTAAACTATGGGGTTTGTATTCGCGGGGTATTTAAATATCCCTTGGGACTAACTGGTAGAAGGAGCTGGGAGCATTGTCTCGCTGCCACCTTGGGGTTTTTTCAGTAATATTTGACTCTCTAATCCTTATCACTGACTGACATAAAGCTGAGTTGGTCTTAATTCTCCTGGGAAAGGTCCCTGGGGAATTGGAGTGATGGGGATACTCATGCAAGGTGCTGGCAAGGGACGGATTCCTGTCCACACTACGCAGCGGACAACAAAAAGTTAAGAGGTCTCTCTCTTGTGAAGAACCGAACAATCATCTGGCACCTGCTGCTGAAAGCATTTCTCTGCCACGCTTCTGCAGTTAATCTCTTTCAGATAAAGTTGTCCCTTTTTTAAAAGGCTGCTGGTGCAGATGATGTGGGAGGGTAGGAATTCTGCCGACCATGGGATTGTCCATGTTGGGAAGAGGCTCGATTGCTCCTGCTGTATCAGAAATCAGGCTGCATTTTTATTTGGAAAAAGGTCGAGGTGTGGGATGGGGGTCACTGCTGCTGCGCCTCGTTTCCTGTGAGGAAGGGGAGCAGGTGTGCTGCTGCGTGCTCAGCTGCCCACTGACTTTATCCCGTGCTCAGGGGAAGGAGGGGGGGGATATTTTGGCAT